CCTACGCCCGAGCCTTGCACCTACGCCCCTGCTCCCTGCTCTGCGCTTTCCCCTTTGCGCTCCTGCGCCCCTGCTGCACCGAGCCTGCACCCCGATCACACCCAGATTTCCTTTCTCTGCGCCCCCTGCTGCACCGAGCCTGCGCCCCTGCGCCCCTGCACTTGATCCTGCACTCCTGCCTCTGCCAAAAAGCCGGATCCTCTGCTGCACCAGATCCCCTTGCCGCCTGCTGCGCCGAACCCACGTTGCTTGCACGCCTGCACTCTGTGCCAGCATCATGACCCTGCACCGAGCCTTGCTGCACCCCTGCTGCTCTGCCTCTGCACGCTACAGCAGCTCCAGACAAATTGGCATTATTATTGATTGACAGAGCAAGGCCCCTTTTTTATTGTTTTTATCATTATTTTTAGCTTTTATTGGGGTATATATATATAGAGAGAAATCAGAATGAAGGGGGGGATTTTTTGGGGTTGATTTCGGGTCTGTTGCTGGGGAGTGTTTTTGGAGTTTGATTTTGGGGACTTTGCTGGTTGATTTTCGGGTTCCTCCTGGAGCTGAAGGAGGTCTTTTGTTGTGTGGTTCTGGTGTTGACGGCGGGGAGGTCTTTGTTTTTTTTGGTGAGTTTGGTGTTGACGGCGGAGAAAAGGAAAATTTGCTCTGCTGGAAGAATTGAGTCTGCTTTGTGTAGGTAATTTCTTTGAACAGTGGTGAAGGGGACGATGGGAGCCTGGTCCCGTGGGTGGGATCCCTCCCATCAGATCTGGATCTGCTTTTCCTAGAAGAATTCCGCCGTGCGTGTTGCTTTGTTTGTTGATTTCTTTCTCTTTGTATTTTTCATTTAATGTTCAAGATCGTATGTATTTCTTGAGAAATGAATGAAAGATCATATATTTGCCTGTTTATTTGCTTGATGAATCTGTTAATCTTTTGCTGGAAATGACACGAACCCTAGTGGCAAGTTTCCTTTTTGCATGTTTGATCTGTATTTGCTTATCTTGAGTAACGGGTCGTGTTTCTGGGTTGGATCAACCCGACCCAATTCAATATATATATAAAAAAAAAAAACTAAAAAGGTTAAAAAGTAAAAAAAATCAAAAGTTATCTCTTTTATTTCAATTTTGCATAATCCGTTCATGTTCAAGCACTTTAGTCCAAAAGTTTCAAATCTTTTCAAATCAGTCCTTTATGTTTTGAGTTTTATCAAATCAGTCCTCTGTGTTTCTAATTTAATCAAACTAATCCCTTTAATTTTTATTTGTGCTTATGATGCATGCTTGTCTTTGATTTTGTCCATTTTAGCCCAAAAATTAAAAAATGTTTCAATTTGGTTTACCCTTCTTTCAAACTTACCTATTAAGACTCAAACATAAACACAACGAGTAAGTTGAATCAAAACCCCAGTGTTAAAGTATGCAACCGTGTTTAAACGGAGGATTGTGAGGTGCGCGTATGCCATTCCTCACTCCTAACCGAACCCCCGAACCCCGATCTCTGCGCAGACCCATTTTAGGTGACTTGTCCCACCTTATAATTTGGATGAGTGGCGACTCCCTTCTTTTTATATTTTCACACTTAATCCCATTTTAAGTGGTCGTCAACAAATATTAAAAAAAAAAATGGTATAAGTTACCTGTAGTATGACATTCATATAATCAAAAAAGAAACTTGGTAACATAAGTTTGTTTATAATGGATGGCAGTAATATAAGGATGACTAAATTCAAGAAAATGAGTTATAGACATTGATATGTGCCTGTTAGGTTCGATGTAGAAAGAGGACCTAACTCCTTCCCATCTTTTTTGACAAATAGCCGTTGCAAGATGCATTGATAGAAAGAGAAAAGACATAACATTAGGTTCAACCATATTCATGACTCAAAAATCAAACTTTGTTCAAAAAACACTAAATCTACTTGCTATGAAACAGCAAAAGAAAATGTGAAAAAATAGATTTTAATGTCACAATGACAATAGAACTAAATGTGTACTTTTCTTTTGATATTAATTGAACTCAAATCCTTTTTGTTTTTCCTATTACTACTACTACCACTAAGGGGAGGGATAAAAAAAAAAGAAACCATAACCTCATGTTTGAGCCATCTCTTTGATTGGTCGTAATCCCAAAATGGGTTTCAAAAGCACAAGAGACAACCATAACCCAAGCAAGAGCCTAAACACAAACAACCCCAATCTCCTCCTGTTTGAAATCCACAACAAACCCGAATCTTTCTTAGCTAACATACTAAAGACCCAAAATCCCATTTCACGAGGAAAGGAAAAGAAACCCACTCCAGTTCTACAACAAAGCAAGTATCTTTACAAGTCAAAATTGAAAATTGATGAGAGAAAATGACAAAAAAAAAAAAAAAACCCCCCCTCATCCTCAATCCATCAGAAAGAGTTAATTCAAGTGGAGTCAAACATGGGATGAATGATGAACTACCAAACAACCCAATATAAGATACCAGAAAGGGAAAGGTCAACAAACTAATCTATGGAATTAGATTTATTAAAGAGTCATTAATTTATGTATTAATTATATTTTTTTATAATTAATTTGTATAAAGAAATAATATACCTACATTTGAAGGATATGCTAAGAGCCATTTTCGTTTTTCCAATACAAAATGAAAAGAAGTATGAAATGCAGATCTAAAATGCCAAATCCAAAAAAATTGTAGGATGATTTTTCTCGAAATGTTAAGTTATAAATGCATCAGTTAAAGTAAGATACCTAACACTGTACCCACAACAATGTCTTCGATTTCACTTGGGTTCAGATTGGTCTTTTCTATCAATGCCTGCAACTAGAAATCATCATCAACACAAAGAAAGAACAAAAAAAGGGAAAAATAGCAAAGCAATGATAAAAAAAAAAAAAAAAAAGGCTATGGTGGTTTGTTAGATCCGGCATGCAGGTATTCCAATGGCCATGGGCTTTGGTGAGGAAGGGGTTTGACAGCAATGAAGGAGAGAAGATGATGAAGATCGACACTTCATGATTCACTAAGAGCCATTTTCTTTTTTCCAATACAAAATGAAAAAAAGTATGCAATGCATATCTAAAATGCCAAATCCAAGAAAATTTGTAGGATGATTTTTCTCGAAATGTTAAGCTATAAATATATCAATTAACTTGAGATACCTAACACTATACGCACAACAATGTCTCTGATTTCACTTTGGTTCAAATTGGTCTTTTCTATCAATGCCTTCAACCAGAAATCACCATCAACACAAAGAAAGAATAGAAAAAAAGAAAAACAGCAAAGCAATTATCAAGAAAAAAAAGGGGTTGCGGTGGTTTGTTAGATCCAGCATGCAAGTGGTTCGACAACCATGGGCTTTGGTGAGGAAGGGGTTCGGCAGCAATGAAGGAGAGAAGATGATGAAGATCGATAATTCATGATTTGTTAGATTCAGAATGCAAGGGTCCAATGGCCATGGCTTTGGAGATTCGGCAACAATGAGGAAGATAGGGTTTCAATTTGTGGGGGAGAAGTGGAAAAGATGAACTTAGATTTTCGGTGAAAAATGGTGCAAATTATTTTTACTTAATAAAAATAAAAAGGAAAATAAATAAGAAAAACACAATTTTTTGTTTCAATTTAGTTACACGTAAACATAAACATAAGTTTATGAATATTTTTTTAATAAGAATTTAGGAAGATGGATAGTATAATTGAATTGAATTAAATTGATTGATCAAATAAAAATAAAAAATAAAAATAAAAACTAGGTGTAATGTGAAAAGGAATATTTAAACTGGTTTTAATATAGTTTGGATCCAGTTCAAAGTTTTAAATAATAATAATAATAAAATTATTATTTAATTTATAAGTGTGAATACATAGTATGAACACAAAATGGTTTTTTTGGTTTTGCTTTAATATATCTTTAGATGCTACATTTTTTATCATAATTGACTATTATAATACTTTTAATTATTAAGAAATAAAAAAATATAGAATTTTGAAAAAAAGTATAATGTAATGTTATAATGGGTATTATATTAAAATGGTATGACATTAATTATTCAGGGTATAGTAATAACTCTACTCCGATCTTTAAATTTAATGTAGTGTGAAAGGAAGTATTTGAACTGGTTCCAATCTTAGGAGTGTTTGCGGTGTGGTTTGGTTCGGATTTTACTATTTTTTAAACCAATCCAATTTAATCGGTTAATAAAATTTTTAAACCAATCCAATCCATTATTATGTGATAACCAAACTAATCTAATTTAAATCAGATCTGTGTGGTTCGGTCAGATTGATCGGTTTTAATATTATTAAATATATAAAATAATGTAAAAATATTTTAACATCAAATAAAAAGTATAACTGTAAAATACATTAACATCAAAATCAGTAAAAACATAATAAAAGGTAAAAATTATAAACGAATTCTTATATTCCTTTACATTTGTAAAAATTGAAAAGCTCTGAAAATTCTTCTTGGTTACATCACTAGAGGCACCAAAAACAATAAAAAATAACTTCAAATTTCTAACACAGTATAAATAATTTTTGAAGATTAAAATTAATTTTTTTCTTAATACACTAATAATTTAATCCTATTTTCTAAATCCTGTTAAAAGTGAATAACATTTAACATGAATATCACTAAAATTGATTAGAAGAATTCAAAATCAAAATTTAAAACTTCTAAACCAAATATATAAGAATAGTTGAATATTAAGACTAATTTTATATATAGTTTTAAGGCTTTTAGAATGATACTTATTTAAAACTTAGTTAGGAAAATCATAAGATTATTTTAAGAATAAATTAAAAATTTAGGGTTTTAAGAGTAAAGGCACAAACCAGTTCTGAGATGATAGAGTTGCAGGTGAATTAAAAATTTAGAATTAAAGTTAGAGTGCACGATTAAAATGAAGAAATAACTTAAGAAATATGGAGATGTTCTATTTTTATTTTTTTAATTAAGTTAATGGAGTTATAATCTTGTAAAATAAGAAAAAGAAAATTTAAAATACTACAAAAAAATATGTTATATTATTTAATTAAATTATCCTCTAATCAGATTTTATTTTGTAATCTGGCAGTTTGAGCGGTTTGAAGGTAAAACTACGAACCAAACCAATTATATCGGTTTTAAAATTTTAGAATTCAAACTAACCTAATTTTATATCGGTTTGGATCATTTTTTGATTGAATTGGATCAGTTTAGGTCGGATCAATCGGATTGGATCGGATATGAACACCCTTATCCAATCTAGTTCCGATCCAATTCAAGGATTTAAAAGATAAAGTTATATAGTTTATAAGTGTGAATAGGTGTGAACACACAGTGTAAACACAAAAAGGTATTTTGTGTTTTGCTTTAATAAATCTTTAGATTTGAACGGTTACCATTTGGGGATAAGGGAAGGAAATATTAGCACTATATTATTGTATTTCAAACCTTAGTGCTAGTTAAGATACTAAATACATCAATCGACTGATCTACAAGTCTAGGGTTTTTGATATTTTGTTGTTGCACCAAACGCTTCATCATTCTTAAACATTTTGTTATTCCTCCAACCCCATACATACAGCCACCACCAAAAATAAAAAGGCCCTTATCTCTCTCCCTTTTCCAAAACCCACTTCAATAAAATATTTAGCCATCACCTCAACAAAACCCCCACCAGAACCCACTGCCCTTATCATTTCCTTCTACCTCCCCCCGCATAGAGCACACAATATATCCCCGCCTTGAACATTTATCTTCCTTCTAATCAAATTCTCCTTTTTAGCCAACTTATTTCACAAAAACCTCCAACTGAAAATGTTTTTATATTTTATGGGACATATATGCACCATATCACTTTACAAAAATCCTCATCAACAATTCCCTCCCCTGATAATAACATAATGTAGGCATTTTTCATTGAATACACTCCGCCAACATCA